TGAAAGCTTGGAACACTGTTCCAAACCAGAAAACTGTACACACCTCAGCAACTTTTGATGCTTTATGAAGCTCAGATAAGACCTTCTTTGGAGTATTGTTCTCATGTATGGAGCTCTGCCCCCAAAGATACCCTGAAGTTGCTGGATCCCATCCAGAAAAGAAGCATTCGCCTTATTGGAGACGCGAACATCACGTGCAACCTTGATAGCCTGGAACATCGGAAAAAGGTTGGAGATTTGTCTCTCTTTCATAGATACTTTCACGGGAAATGTTCAAGTGACTTGGCACATTTGATTCCACCAAACGGTACATATCAAAAATACGCGACGTACTGTGGCTGCTCACCTTTTTGAGGTTCAACTCAGTGCACCTCGAACTTCACTGTTGAAGAACTCTTTCATATGGAGAACTGTGTTCATAAGAAATAAACTTCCTGAGAACGTTTTTTCAAATGGATTTAATCTCCAGCGATTCAAATCCAACGTGAATCGATACTTTCGCCCAGGCACCGCTCTAAGAACGCCTAAAGGATGTTTCTGTAGTGCTTGTGTTTTGTTTTTTGAGAAAAACATATGGCACTGAAATTTTATGAAGAATTCATTTTTCAATCTTCAAGGTATTACACTAAAATGGTATGTCCAAGTAGTCCAATAGTCTGAATATTTGAATAGAATGGAAAACGAGTTTCTTATAATTTTTTTATGAGAATAAGGCAACCCTAGTGGTACTTATGATGTACTGTTTGGAACCTTTGGTGTAGGAAGATAAAACTCAGTATTATCTTCCTCTTGAAGATGATCACTTGGTGATAGAAACACGTGTCGAGGTGTAAAAATAAAGATTTGGTGTTGGGAAAAAACTCTAGTAATATTCAACCCTAATGGTGTATTACTTGAGTTTTATCATGAAAGACAATGATTACTATATTGAGCAGATGAGATTTTGTGTGAAAAGTCACATATTGCTTTGATTATTTTTAGTCCACTCAATCATATTCGAAATTAATCAAAAAATAAAATCATAAGTGATGAACAACACCAAGAGCAAACAGGAAATGGAAGTTGAAATAATTTGAAAGAAGTTAAAAAATATATATTATGGAAATTTCCATTACAATGATTATTGTGATCTATTGTGGGGTTGAAATATAAACCATTCAATGTTCATATTCATTTTTACCCCATTCAATGAAATGAGGTTATATCTGCAACTGAAAAACTAAAGGACAAACTGACATCAGGCCAATCCCATCATTTTTATTGAAGGATTGTGCATTGGCAAAACCTTTAACGAGAATTTTCAATTCATGTCTGATATCTGAAACATTCCCAGATATTTGGAAATTAGCTAAAGTATGTCCTGTATATAAAAGTGGTGAAGAATCATATATAGAGAATTACAGACCCATATCTTTCTTATGTATGTTTTCTAAATTTTTTGAGATTATTTTATATAATCGCATATATGCTTCCACTATCTAACTAACTATCTCAACATCAACACGGATTTGTTACTAAGCGTTCTACTGTTACAAATCTAGTCACAATCACTCAATTTATTTCCGAGGCATTAGATAACAATTGCCAAGTTGATGTTATATACACGGATTTCTCTAAAGCATTTGATAAAATTGATCTTGATATCTTGCTCAATGAACTGATGAGTTTTGGTTTTTCGAATACTGCCTGTCAGCTGATGCAATCCTATCTGACATGTAGAAAACAATTCGTCTCCTATAACGGTTATAAATCTAGAACATATATAGCTCCTTCTGGTGTGCTTCAGGACTCCAATCTAGGTCCTCTTTTGTTTTCATTGTTTATTAATGACTTATGTGAAAGTTGGGCTTGTGAGCGGTTATGCTTCGCGGATGACTTGAAATTATTTTCTATAATTAAGGAAGTAGGTGATTGTGTAAATCTTCAATCTCAATTAGAATTTCTTGTTACTTCGTGTAGTAATAATAAATTGAAACTCAATGTGGAGAAATGTAAAGTAGTGAGTTATAGTAAAAAAAATAGGTCTATACATTCTCGTATGTAATACAGGATTCAGATCTATCTGCTGAGATGTAAGGAGATCAAAGACCTAGGGGTAATATTCGATCATAAATTAACATTTGGCAGACATATTTCACAAAAAGTTTCAGAATCTCTCAGAGCTTATGGTTTCATTGTTATAAATTGCAGAAACTTTCATAATTTTAAAGCCATGAAGCTGTTGTATTTCACCTACGTACGTTCGAAGACAGAATATGCAAGTATCGTCTGGAGTTCATTCTATGAGATTCATAACATAGCCAAAGAGTTCAAAGAAAGTTTTGTAAATTTCTTATTTTCAGAATAGATGGTTCTCACCCTGGGAGAGGTATCAGTAATGATGTCATTTTTATTTGGAGCCAATTCTTTTTACAATATATATCAATGACTTATTACGACCCGATATTGTGGCAGCTTCCTTTGATTCGCTGATGATACAGTGCTGATAGCTGGAATAACCTCAAAACTTAAGTAGAAGATGACATGAGTGAGCTCTTCGAATGCTTCACGGATAAAATACTATCGATTACTCACGAAAAAATATTCTTTTTACGATTCTCGTGCTATGCCAACTTACTACCCCAATATGATACATTGAATATCAGAAACAACATAACGATTCGATCAGCAGAAAAAGCAAGTATTTAGAAATAGTGATAGATAGACACCTGAGATGGAACTATTATGTTGACCAAGTGGCATAAACGTTGAGGAAGGAGCACATTTTATAGATTCAAGTACTTACGAAATATACTAGATACCTAGAAAATGAAAACAATTTATTATGCCGTTATAGAGTCTCGTCTTGAATATGGAATTGTAGGCTGGAGCGGAGTAGCAACATCACATTTGAAAAAATTATATGTATTACAGAAAAAATTTCTGAAAATTCTCCTTAGAAAACCAACACAATACTCATTGGAAACACTTTTCAAAGAAGCAAAATTGCTCGACCTCAGACAACTTTACTTCCTAGGGACTGTTGTGGAACAACATGAAAAACGAGCAAAACTGAACTATGTAGACCACAAGCACAACAGAAGACTTAAAACCAATGCGCAACTGAACATGACATGCCCAACGAAAACAATCGTTCAGAGAACATATATATTCATCCTACAAAACGGCTCTACAATTACTTACCTCTGAAAACCAGACTAGCACCGATAACTATTTCATTAAAAAAAGATGTCAAATGTTTCATTTCAGAAACAGATTGAATTTCTATACATCGAATAATTGATCCGTCGAATGCATGAAATAGGATAATTTACCTTACTATACTCACCCAGACAAAATGGGTGACAAGACAGACATATTTGCTTTCTGTTTGATGAGTTTGTTGGGGGTTAAAATGGATACCATTATGCCTTCACACAATCATGTTTCTGAGATTGCAAACGCTCCTCCTCAGAAGTTTGGAGCACTATTCCGAACCAGAAGACTGTATAAACCTCAGCAACTCTCGACCTGAAGCTGCTAGAATCCATCCAAAAAAGAGCAATTTGCCTGATTGGAGACGCGAAACATCACTTGCAGCCTTGATAGTCTGAAACATCGAAAAAAAGTTGGAGGTTTTTCTCTCTTTTTTCACATAATGCATTCAAATGACTGTGGCTGCTCATTGTTTCGAAGTTCAACTCGGTACACCTCAAACTTCACTATTTGGGAACTCTTTCATTTGTAGAACTACGTTCATGAGGTATAAACGTTTCTATACGTTTTTCCAAATTATATTTTTCATTAGCGACTCAAATCAAATGTGAATCACTACTTTCGCACAAGCACCGCTCTTGGAGTGCTTTAAGGATTTTCCTGGAGTGCTTGTGTTCTGTCTTAAAAAAAAAGAATTAGGTTCACGTTGAACTTCATCCAAGATACTTATTACTGTCAACGGTCTGCAGCTGACTTCAGCTGAATGTAGGCATTTCACCCAAGTATTGGTATTGAACATATAAATAGTCCGCATTTTTCGGCACAATGCAATGGCGCTGCTGAAAATAGCGTTAGAACTGTGAAATATTTTGACATAAAATAAATGGATTGCAAAATCATCATCATTATCTCCAGCGAAGATAGTTTTTGGTATATCTCTGAGAACAAGACTCGACTCATTGAAACCTGAAACTTTACAAAATTTTCAACAAGAATTAATAGATTTCAAACGAATCAAATGTAAGAGAAACAGAGATCAGAAGAAAAATGAAAAATATTATAAGAAGGAATTAATATTACGTCTTTGTCAGAAATATTGTTCTAGCTAACGATAATAGAAATGTGAAAATTTCTTAGTGTAAATCAAGACTAACTGAAATTTTAGATTCAAATTCAACTTGGAAAAGACATAGCCATCAAGTTAAGAGAGTGATTTCTGAAAGAGTTAATGGTAAAAATTCGAATGCTCAATATTGATAACAGATTGATCGGAACAAATTCATCATGATATTTGTACTGCCACACAAACAATTGTATGCCGGTACTAGTAACATTATCTGAATACTTGTGACGCACTGTTTCATTTGGAGTAGTAATGCATATTACTGGAGTCCTATCCCAACAGCAAACTGTTATTTCCAACATCTTGACACGTATTTCAGTCACCAAGTGATCGTCTTCAAAAGGAAGTTTGATCTTACTCAACTTACTTATCAACATTTCTAAGTTGGTTCAATTCATATAATAACATATAGTGAAACTCATTTTCAAAATACAGTATTATTGCGTCACATTTCATGATCTAGATAGTTTTCAGGTTTGTTGATGAGTTCTACATTATCGAGTACGTTTGAGTTCTTGAATTTTACTCGAATTCTAAAGAGTAGTTTTGGAAAATATTGTCGTATGGATCAAGTGGAAATGAAAATAAGTGAATGAGAAGGCATAAATTTTTTAAAAGACAGGATTTTTTATTGATGATTTACTTCACAAATTCAATGTTAATATGTGTATATATTTTTCAGCATTATTCGAGAGTATGATGGCACATCCTGACACTCATAACAGTAATTGCTCAATTGAAATTGCAACTGCAGAAAACAAAAACGAAGTTTTGGAATTCTTAAGAAAATTTTTCTTCAAGGATGAACCTGTTAATAACTTTCTAGGACTAGTCAGTTGCGAGAATCCAATAAACGAAGATGTGGAAGCTTTTTCCATAGAATACTTAGATAATGGTCTCACTTTGATGGCAAAATATGATGAAAATTTAGTAGGTGTTTGTATGAGTGTGGTAATTGAGAAAGAAACAAAGAAAACAACTGTTAACTGTCAAGATGAAAAATTTGCAAAACTTCTCAAGTTTTTCGAATATGTTGGTGAGAGAGCGGATCCATTTGAACAATATCCAGATTGTACCAGGGCTGTGTGCATTGGTATAGTATCTGTAGACGAATCGTACAGAGGAAGAGGTATCGCTAAAAATCTTCTGAATACAACAAGGTGAGTTCGATAATGAAATATCCAATATGAGTTATATATTGTTTCTCCTACTATTGTGCTGCTTTTTACATACGTTTGTAAAATAGAACTTCAACATCCTGAACGAAATAACTGTGCGAAGTAATAACCATCAAAAATATTCGATGAGCCCCAGTATTTTCTGATGATTTCGTTGGTCCGAACTTGGATGGAAAAAACTCATTGATCGAAGAAACGTAGTAGGAACCCACTTGGTCAGGATAGTAATTTCTCAGCTGGAAGAGGAACAGCAGATTTTAGATTGGGAATGAGCAGCGAATCTCTCTTATTCCCAAAACCTTTGGACTCGTGTTGATGCTTACTCAGGAATGAGGTTTAAGTCAACCATCACCATAGTCATAGAAATATTGTATATACGAGTGGAAAGAGACGGAAAGAACCATAACTGGATGTAAGAAAAACACGCTCATTGACAGATGTGTAAGCCAGAACTGAAGGCAGTTTGAGTATAACCTCCTATGGTATGAATTGATCATGACAAGGTGTTTGATACAACATCAGTAGTAGATTACAGCCGGTTCTGGGCCCAGCCCTCGCCACTATGACGTATTATTTGCTTTTTTGTTGTTGTTTAGTAACATCAAGGCGATGAAGTGTCTGGTGCATGGATCGTTCAGTTTTTTTATGAGATTTTTTTTGTGTGTGTGTGTGTGTGACATAGTGACGTAAATACATTTGATTGGTGTGTGTGTGTGTATATGGGAATGCATGGTACAGGGTTTCATCATGTGCTTGTTCGAGAACTGTGTTACTCCCCCCACCACTATGACGTATCAATTGTTTTTTGTATTGCTTAGTAACATCAAGGCGATGTGACCTTGAAGTGTCTGGTGCATGGATCATTCAGTTTTTTTTTCATATGAGATTTTGTGTGTGTGTGACAATGAAGTAATTACATTTGGTTGGTTTGTGTGGGTGTGTGTGTGTGTGTGTGAGAATGCACGGTACAGGGTTTCATCAGGTGATTGTCCATGTACAAACATACGTCTGCATACTTCAAAGATCCACCAAGTAATGAATGTTCCATCAGTGTTAGCGCACCAAGTTAGTACGTCTACATACTACACTTTCAGCATTGAAATGATCTCTACATGCGTCACACGATATCGAAAAGGTGACTTTGAAGAAGTCTTTACACTCAGACAAGACGACTTTGACATACATGGTAATGTTAGGATTTGTCATTATCCTTTTATCGTTCCTGTGTACTCTGTACCAGTTTTTACAGAATAAACACGCGTCTGCATACCACAAAAATCCACTGACTAGTGCTCCTTCCTTATCAGTTTGGATGATACCTATCGTGACAGAGAGTGCACACGTCTACACTCCCTGAAGTTCCAACGACCACTGCTTGCTCGTATCACCATCTGTCAACACATCGAGTTGTGATGGTGGGGAGGTCGCAAGACACTTTCAATTCTGAAATGACATCAACATACGTTACACAATGTCGACAAGGTGACTTTGAAGAAGTCTTCACATGCGGACAAGTCGACATTGAAGTAGTGTTTTGGGTTGACATACACGGTGAAGTTAGGATTTGACATTATCGTTCATGTGTACTTTGTACAAGTTTGTACAGAATGAACACACGTCTGCAAAACGAGTTGTGATCGTGAACGCCATCATTCAGTATGTGAGAGCGCATCGAGATGAATCCGTCTTGAGTATAATTCTATCAAAATTTCGTTTGCATTGTCGTAAAATGTATGTGAATCTGCAGATTACACAGAAATGGCTAATTTGAAATTACAAAAGTAATACAATGGCTAGTTCGAAATTCCAAAAGTAATACAGTGTTGAATAGACAATTGAATCAATTTTTAAAAAACCCCTTTCCGTTCCCTTTTCCGTTTGGAAAAAAGTTGGTTACGCCCTCTCTTTCAAAGATCCACATCCACAAAGTGATGTATGTTCCATCGGTGTGAGCCCACCAAGTTAGTGGTGTGACGTCACAGCAGCAACTGTTTAACGATAGGAGAACGTGATGTCCACGGCGTGTGGCTGAGTAATGCGTATTCATCGGTGTGTCCTTCTCTCTTGATACGGAGATGGCTGTGACGTAACGCATCGTTCATCCTTCGCTGTCAATGGTGACGCGCAGGAGGCGAGCACTATGTTAGCATCTGTCCTCTAAACGATAGCGTAATGACTTCTGTTAACGCGTCCAGCTGAGAGCTAGGCTTGGCTGTGACGTCAGGCACGCCAGGTAAGTATGTTTATGCTTTATTATTTATATATGGTCTTCCAAGAGTATTTCAATACATTCTCAAAATATAAGAGGACAAGCATTAGCTGGAAATATAGTTGCGCCATCTATGAACTGAGGTTGAAGACCGTGATCGCCAAAGTGTGTAAAAGCATGGTGTTCACTTTCGTATGGTTGTGAAGGTCTTGAAGTAATTTGGAAGTAATATGCTTCTTTATTTGAACAAAATAACTGAATACCAATATATTTGTTATAGTAGGTTTTGCAATCAGCCCAAATTAATTCAATAGCATGAAAATATGGGTGGTAAGGTGGTAATCTTAATACTTCATGTCCATGTTCTCGTACCAGTTCATCTATAAAGTATATATTTTCCTTTCGGTTCATCTTAGCCAATTGCAATAATTCTGATTTTGTTGATTTTTCATCAAAATCAATGTTATTTTCGTGTAACCAACTAACAATTTCCGATTTTCTTGAAGAACTGGTAAGCTGCACAACAATAAATCGTTCACCATCATATCCTCCGAGTTTGCGTACACTTTTTACATTATTATCCTGCCAAGACTTCTTTTATTTCCTCTAGAATAAATCCATGTTTCATCTAAGAAAACCACTTCTCGTTGTTTTAAACTTCTTCGGTTTTCCTGGTATTTGCGTAAAAAGAAATTCTCGTTGTGAAATGATATGAGGTCTTTCAATCAGAGCTCTTCGATTATCATCTTTTTCAAATTCAAATCCCAGCTCTTTCAGTAAAACATTTGAAGACGATTTGCACATAGAAACAATTTCCTTATTTTTCAGCTCATCGTTCAAAGATCGAAGGGTGAGATGTTTTTCTGGAAGAAAATATTCAAATTAATATAGGTACATTTCAAAATTCATAGAATAGGAGAATTGATATTATAACTGCACTTCGAATACGAGAATCAAGTGAACCTTCAAATGTTAAAGAAAAATATATTTGACAATAAAGTTTGACTAGTTAACTAATTATCATACATCCAAGGCCTTTCCTGATACAGTTGTGACTGTTTAGGAATTTTCCTCACTAGTCAGTGTCGCGTCTAAGTCAAGTGCATCGAATGAAATCTGCTTTGTTTTTGAGGTTGTGCTGCACCGATACACTTAATTTCATTGGTTGAAAATGACATTTGTCAAAATTTAACCAATGGTATAGCTGATTTAGAAGTCCTGATGCANGAAATAACATTTTTATCATATAGACATCTGAACAGTCAATTTGTACCGTCTTTCCTTCACCATGTACTAAGAAGGTGTACTCACTGTCTTTATACATATCGTACAGAGTATATCGTACTTCCATTTTCTGCCCTTCAGGTAAATCAGATGTTTTCTTTTTGATAGGATGTCTACTTTTTTCTGGAGTTGATGGAATGGGTTTGTGTTTATTTCTTTGTTTGATGTTGAACACCGTTTTTCAGATAATTTAAGTGCATCTGCAACTCTCTAAAATACAGTTGAGAAAAGTTATGACATTTCTTTTATCGATTTAATGGTTACCTCTTGAACAGATGAAAATGGTAACAAAGGTTCTCCAAGCGCTCTCTCCCTTTCAAAATATTCGCACAAGTTCAACACAAATTGTTGTGTTTGTGAATTGAGAATACTTCCAGGCATAATCTAAAAAGGAGTATAAATATATTGTACATGTTTTGGCATGACTTCATAGATTTATTTAATGTTATTTCTCCCATTATTTTTTCCACACGCCCAATTACTCTTGTATAATATCTCGGTAATGCGGAATCATAGTCACAAATGTCAATTGTGAGGTTGGGAATATCAAAGAACATTTATGAATAAAACATATTTTATTGTACTGACTTTGAAAGTAATGATGCCATGAGACGTTTAGCTTTGAAAAAAACTATTTTTGTGATATATTTGACTGCAAATTACTGTGAAACTGACGAAAACAATACCCAATAACATAAAACAATGATACTGTCAACTGTCAATATCGTGTCTGGCAAATATAGGTAAATTGTAAAACAGTGTCGGCTGTCTGGTTATCTCTTTCCATTGTTATGAGTATTAATTGATCATCACTTTAACATATATATCTTCTTCAGGAAATGTCACGAAACAATAGTAATTTAAGACCCACAACACCGTGTCCATGATGGAAATGGCACATAATTGGTGCGATGCTTGCGAGAGACCCCTAGCTTTTCCTAATATGACTAATAACCAGTCCGTGCAAAGCTTCTTGTTAAATCATCTGAAAATGGAATTTTTAACAGGTGATGATCGACTGTATTGTCAAACACGCGCCAAACTAACTGACTGTTATAAGGAAACAAGTATAGCTGAGGCACCAGTCAATCTAATAAT